TAAATTATTATACCATTTCTTTAATATTACCAATTATAAATGAGCAGTTTCAGTATAGATAGATAGACAGACAGACAGACAGACAGATAGATAGATAGATAGATTCATTATTGATGTTTAATTTTTTTCAAATGTTTCAATTTTATAAGAAATTAAGAGAATCATGTGAGAAAAGTAGTTTATAAGTAAAGTTACTCATACAGATTAATTTAACATCAAAGATGAAAGCAAACTCAAAACTAAATTAATTAATAAAATTTTACACAGTGGTTGGGAAAGGTTGATAGAAGAAAGAGCTCTTGTTAGAGCGCACTAAAAATAGATAGAGTTACACTGCTGGTGTGCTCGCAGTAGTAGATTTACTACTCTCACTCTGTCAAGGGGGAGATAAATCTGTCCTCTCTGCTTTATAACCTCTATGTTCTCTGCTGCTTTTGAACACTGTGGGCTCTTGTAATAGCGGGGTGGGTCACACCGTGAGTCTTCTTCTCATTTTCTAAGAAGATATGATTTCACTCTGGGAGGTTTCTCCAGTTTGATGTTCCTCCTGTGATCTCCGCTGTTAAACAGGACTCAACTTTCAGAACATTGTGGAGTGAAGCCACTTTGAGTCTATCCGTGCATACATACAGGTGGATTGACAGCCGACACAGAGAGACAGATGGAAGCTGATTTATGGAAAAGGGGAGGGACAATAGTGAAACGGATGGACAGGAGGGAGGGGAGGAGGTCAGGATGAGTGAAGCTTGCAGTAGTAAAAATTGAACTCTGATTAAACTCAGAGTGAAAAACTGAAGGTTATAGAGAGGGGCGTTTGAGACACTATACCACACACACACTAGAGAGAGCATTCTTAAAAATAAAGGTTCTTTATTGACATCCATGGTTCCAAGATAGAACCATTAAAATCCATGGAACTTTTCAAATGCACGAAAGGTTCTTTAGATATCACAGCACACTCTTAAAAATAAAGCTTCCAAAACATGTTTTTTTGCAACAGTGCCATAGAAGAACCATTTTTGGTTCCTCAAAGAAACTTTCAGTGGTCAGTTCTTAAAAGGACATTTTCATAATCAAAAGAACCTTTTTCCACTATAAAGGACCTTTTGTGCTATGGAAAGTTTCCATGTATGTTAAAGGTTCTTTATGGAATCATCAATGCCAATAAAGAAACTTTATTATTAAGAGTGAAAAGAGATATATGTAATTGTTCTTCAGTGACGATTACAATGGTGAAAAGATGGAAAAGTGTTGTAAAAGATGCCTGTAATGGGAACGATGACAAGAGATGGGAGCATAATCTCATGGCTCTCCGGTCTACGAGCAGAGCTCTTCCTGTTGATCCAAACTTTATCTCCACATCTAACCCTGTGAAGTGCTATAGAGCTCCATACAAACAGAGCTAATCCTGGAAGAGGAACAGATAGCACGGGAAAGTGGCCTTGCTAAGTAAACAGAAGTGTTCATTGATGTAAATTAAGATTAAACTAATTTGTATAACAGTATAATTTGTTATCTTTATAATTATGAAACCATTTCCCTTGTCTTCGGTGTCCAAATTTTACGTATTACTATCCTCCAAGTATCATGCTTATGATAGGATATCATTCATGATTTTGTCCATGCATCTGTAGTGCCCATGGGAATCGATTAGTAAAGGTGACCATCATTGGAGAGGAAGTAAACAGTGAGTTCTGTTTGGAAGCCATAAACTCTGATAGGCTCATGGGTCAAAGGTCAGGCATTCAGATGGAGGGGTGGTGGTATGAATAGGAGGGATGGACTGAGAGACACTATCTGCACAACAGTGATGCAATTATTTCTCAAGTGACTGTTAGAACGTGGTAAATGAGCCTTAATTCACAAGACCAGGTTGCCCATTAAGACCCCGCCCAGAAAAGAGATGCGTTATGGTCTTATCAGCACAGAAACAGATGCACGTAAAAGCAGCTCTCGCTTTCTTTTAATAACCTCCATCCCGCTATATAAACAGTATATATCATCTCGCTGAATAGATCCACTTTCCTGTTTGGACATCAGAGAAAACTATAAAATGGTAAAATACTGTAGATTAAAGATTAGAAGACAGATGTTTCTTTGAAATGTGTACTGTGAGTATTTAAGCAAGGATCATTTCACTTGTCAACTGGGATGCATGATTGTGACAAAATCAGAACTGACAATTACTCTCCCTGATATTGTAATTGAGATTATTTATGTTCATTAATAGAATTAAAATATGTATGAGTGTGTGGGGGGGGCAACTGCATACCATATTCTTTCTGTAGACTATGTCGATTTTGACATAAAAAATTTAATTATGAGATAAAATTTTGACCTAATATCTCATAATTTTGACTTTGTGTCTCAAAATTATGACTTAGTATCTCATCATTTCTACCTTTATCTAGTAATTGTGACTTAGTACCTCATAATTTTGATTTTATAGTTTCATAATTATGACTTGGTATCTCATATTTACTTTATCTCATAATTATGACTGAGAACCACTTCTGAATTAGTTCATTAATGATTAATTGGTGAACTTGCATAAAAACAATGTTGTAAATATAAACATCTGACACAACAGAAATAGATGTAAATTACATTTTCTAATTCACAGCAGGCATTGCAACTTAAAATTAATTTACATATTTAATACATAAAATAAATATATATTTGTTTGCCCTCTAAAGTCTGTGTATATGTATGCTTGTGTTAAATAGAAGTTTTTTTTTAACTCTCTGAGCATCACAGGTGCAGCCTTTGACCTAAACGTCCTGTTCCACACCTTCCTCTCTGATGCTCTTCCTGATCTGTCAGTAAGAGCAAGTGGGTTTATTTAAGCACAAATATCCTACTGATAGAAGCTTGTGAACTCATGATTATCTAGTAGTGCTTGTGGTACATAATATAGAACCTCTCTAAAATTGATTTCTATGAACATACACTGTCTCAGATTAGTCATATTGCTCATAGCCATCTTGCTAATTCACACTTGTCTGTCTTCTCTAGTATCACCCCCAGTGAGGAAATTGCTGTTATTTTTATATGTTAGCAGAACGTCCTTCCTCGATCTGGCCCTGGGATACTGTCTGTCTGTCTGCTCTTACTGCAGTTGAGGGTCGCAGGCCTCTGCTCTTTGTATTGTGTGTCGTGAACTACTTCCCTGCCCTTTAACACAACAGTGACTGGAGGCCCACAGCAGGCTGACGGTGTTAGTTTCCCCATGATAAGGCTGGTTCTTCCTCTTTCTCCTCTTTCTCCCTCGTTGAACACACCCACACTTTATCATTGTCAACAACTGTTTTAGACAGAGCTGTTGCTTACCCATATTTCATTAGTGAACATTGGACATCATTAGTGAACACATGGATATTTTGACATACTTTTTGCATGATATCTGTTCAGTTTCCTGAGAATGGAATGTCAGAGAATCATGTTATTCTGATAGATTAATGCAGCTTTAAAATCACATTGCTGTTGGATTCCTTTTTTATGAGGAACAAGGGATATTTGTCAAGTAAATATCTGTATAATTGATTGCAGACGAGGACACACTTTTCTAAATCAATAATAACATGCAGCAAAAATGCATATAAAAATAGAATTGTTTTCCTTTAAAGGGCATGCAAGATGATTAAAAAAGTGCTCTTACATTTGAGGGCATATTGCTCTTTTGCAACAGCTGCAGTGAGTGTGATAGGGAAGGAAAGCTTGGGGGTGAATGATGACAGCAATGCTCTGGTGTTTAGTCATGTACCAGAACCTGATTATCTGTGAAGATCAAACGAGCCAGTGCACTTGCCAACAAACAACAAAGCATCGCCAAGTTTCTCTCCAGAAACAATATGTGCTAAATTAGATCCTCGCAAACTAATTTAGCACATATTTTGCCAGTGTTTAGGGACCTTTGAATCAGCAGATGCTAATGAATGGATATTACAGGAAAGAAATCCAGGTCACACAATAAATAAGTTACTGTCTACTGAAGTGTAAAAGCTCTGCGGAATAAAATCACGTGTGAGAATAATCTTACAACCCAGATTTTTACTTTGGAAAAAAATATTAACATATATGTATTATTTCTAAATTGTTGTGCGTGGAAAAAGAGACACTGTAATGTAGGCCTATTTCCTATGAAGAACCTTTGAAGCCCTAAGAAATATTATTATGCTTATATTATAAAACATACTGTGCTACTATTGTTATTATTATTATTATTATTACTATGCTATAATATTATGAAGTATAGGTATAGGAAGCAAATGGGATAAAATGTAGCTTGCAGCTTTCATGTCATCGTCAACTTGAATTTTGATATTTTGTAGCTATCGTTTGAGTTTCTGATATCAGAAAGTGTTTCTGTAATCTAACTGTTATCTAACTGAAAGAAATCCTTCGGGATGTGAAAAACCAACTAATACATTAGGACTTGACTAACAGGGCGAACAGCATTGAAAGTGAATATGAGGACACAAGAAAAATATTATGAATCAAAACCTTTTTTTTTTTTTTTGATCCGCCAGTTTTTTACTTAAATGTGATTAACGAAAATGTACATCTTTAAAAATTATAAATATAACATTTTATCCAATATAACAAAACAAACATACATGATGTAGGCCTGAAAATGCTACTGCGTAGTTAGAGTGACCCATATGTGACTAACAGAAGGGTCTGTATTGCCACCTGCTGGCTAATATAAATATTAAACATCCTGAATCTTTCTTTTGAATTCTCCCCAGGCAAAAGTAGTAATATCTGCACTGCACTATATATGTTTTAAATACATAATAAAATAATAATAATGCCTACGTATAGCCTACTAAATAAACATATGCAAATCAATATGTGTTTGATTTTTTGCGCCTTGATAGTACTTATAAAACTTTAAACAAAATCATCATGACATTAACATCGATGCAATAAAAAGACGTAAATGAAAACAGAAAAATACGCTCTTATCGTTGTGCTCCAAAACAGCAGAACTAAGCTTTCGTTTCCTCCGTTTCCTGTCGGATCTTTCCTGAGCGTGACACATCAAAATGGCGGAGCGGGAAGAAGCTGTGAGGGGATTTGTTGCTGTTACTGATGTTGATGAAGAGAGGGCCCGTTTCTTCCTCGAGTCAGCCGGCTGGGACCTGCAGGTCAGTAGCACACTGGTCACTTCATCACTGAAATATTATGATGTGAAGCACAAACACTGCAGACTAGGATTCAGCAGACTTTAAGCCTCCACTGGCAGCCAGTGAACTGTACAACCGGCTAACGAAATGTGCAAGTCACTCTTCATTAAAATCACCAGGCGTATCTTAAACTGGTTTATCTGGTTAATCATAACGTTACATGATGTGATTCACGCTTCAGGATTTGGTAGTCAGTATTACTTTGAATTATAAGATTTTAAACTGTGCCGCTATATTTTACATAGAAATTCAGCCTTAAGCTAGCAGCTGTAGCCTCAATTGATGCTCGTGTTTACATCCGTTGTTCATGTTTTTCGTCCTGAAATATATTAAACGGAGCTATTTTGGAGTCGTTAATATAATTAAACTGATTAATTTGCTAACTGCTGAAGGCAGATAGTGGGCGGTTTGTTTTGTTTCTGTAATTCGCCTACTGCGTGTCTGTCTGAGTGACAGCTCTCTCTCCTCTGTGTTCTCAGCTTGCTTTAGCTAATTTCTTTGAAGATGGAGGAGATTATGATATTGCCACCCTCCCTCAGCCAGAGTCTGGCTCTGTCAGTCGATCCACGGGGCCAAGGTAACAAAAGCCACAAGTTTGGGTTTTTCCAATTATACAGTAGCAGCAGTATGGTAATAGTCGTAACATTGCGCCGTTTAATGTAATCTCTTTTGATTTCAGTGAGCACAGAGTGACGTCCTTTAGAGATCTGATGGATGAAGATGAGAGTGGTGACGAGGAAGGCCAGAGGTAATAAATTCTTGTACAGTTAGTAACAGTCACCATGAAATTGAAGTGGAAATTTCCTATTTTTTGTGTGGAATTTTGCAGTGTTAATTTTAAATGAGTTATCCATGTAAATCAATATTTTTAATGGAATATTGTAGTGTTTATTAAAAAGGAATTATCTGTGCAGTGCACATCATTATTTTTTTATGGAATACTGCAGTGTTTACTATAGGTAGGGCTGCACGATTATGACAAAAATCATAATTGTCGATTATTCCCTTGAAATTGTAATTGGGATTATTATGATTATCACAATTTACGTTGAATGATGTTTATACCATTATTTGATGCAACTGCATGCCGTATTTTTATATGAAAATAAACAAGCTGAAAACACTAACTGAAAAACCTTTAGTGCTTTTCTATAGTATTAAGCCTCAAATGTCAAATATACATCGGATTGGTTTCTTCTTTAAATTATAAAAAAAAGTAAAAATATGAATGGTATTATAATGTTATACTAAAACTAAAACAATGGAGAAACCCTTAAAGGAACACTTCACTATTTTTGAAAATAGGTAACGATTAATTGCTGCTTTGAACGATTACGTAATTGTGGCATCCATAATTGTAATTGCAATTAGGAATTCGATTAATTGTGAAGCCTTAACTATAGGCAACCTGTCACTCACTTGAGATTGCAGAAATTATCAAACAACAACAATCCAATATGTTTTTTCTCACTTGAGATGCTGTTTCGCTTGGTTATAATGCACAATAGGAAAGAAAAGAAAATCACAACTACCATCTTGTGACGGCTTTTACATGAACATTAACTTTTTTTGTATTCAGCAAGATTTATTTAAATGTATATGATTGTATAAAGGAAACTGTGTCTTTTATGGTGCTTTTCCACTGCGTAGTACGACTCTGCTCTGCACGCTTTATTTAGGCTCGGTTTGCTTTTCCACTGCAATTTAGTACCGATTCAAAGTGGGTAGGATTATAGACTGATCGTTATAGTTGAGCCACCACCACGTCTACTGACCTCGATACAGCCATTTCCTTTTTAAGTTGCGTGTGACGGTCGTTTAAAGCAAGTCGTTTAAAAAAAGTTGTGCGAACAAATGATACTGCAGTGGCTGTTGCTGACTGTTTAAATCTAGAGGTTTTGGTGTCTCGTGTCACAAATCCAATAACGCTGGTAGTGACAATTCTCTCTGACCAGTCATTGATCTGCAGTGTTTACACATCACAATTTAGTATCGGTACAGCTCACTTGGAACCTCAACCGAGGCGGTACTAAAAAAAGTACCCTGTAGTAGGTACTGTACACAGTGGAAAACCCCCAAAAAGTGTTCGGTACCATTCAGTGGAAAAGCACCATTAGGTTTTGGTATGTCAACTGCGCATATACTCTGTAAGAGGGTGCTTTCTCAATAGCTAGATAATGAAACAAATACTCTCACTTCTGCCTTTACACTCTATTAATGCAATGTTTACTCACAAATGCAATTTAATGCTTTATTTTATTGAGAATGCTTTATTTTATTGAGAATGTCTGACTTTTCCTCTCGCAGGTTCTTTGCCGGGGGCTCAGAACGCAGTGGGCAGCAGATTGTTGGTCCTCCCAAAAAGAAGAGCCCAAATGAGCTGGTTGAGGACTTGTTTAAAGGCGCTAAGGAGCATGGGGCGGTTCCTGTTGACAAAGCAGGCAAAGGACCTGGAGAATCCAGCAAATCCAGCAAGGTAGTTCCTCCACTGAATAATCTATAATGTAAATCAAAGATAATATGCTTGCTTATTGTGTACTCGTATCTCGTGATTATGATTCACTTATGTTTTCTTTCTGTCTGCTTATTTTACAGCCGTTTGTGGGTGGTGGTTATCGATTGGGCGCAGCACCAGAGGAGGAGTCGACTTATGTGGCAGGAGAGTGGAGACAGTCCAGCGGTTCACAAAATGTGAGTCACTAACCTGTGACTTCTGAAGTCAGTGAGATGTAGAGAGATCTGCTGCAGTGATTTGTACTGTGCCAACAGGTGCCTGTGGTGCTGAAGCTCTGGAAGACTGGCTTTAGTCTTGATAATGGAGAGCTGAGGAACTACAGTGATCCCGGGAATGCTCTCTTCCTGGAGTCGATCCGTAGAGGGTGAGCTCCAAATCCATTCACTGATGTTTGGTTGTTTTGGCAGTTCGCAGAAGTTTAGGTTAATTAACAGAAGTTATAGTCCCCCCTCAGGTCAGTTCCAAATTCACCCAACATTTTTCATTGTGTTCTTTGCACACATAAGAACGTAAATTGTTTTATGTTGGGCCCTCTTGATATTAACTTTGACAAACCCTTACCTGTTGACCGCTATTAGACAGTTTTCTTCTAACTGGCTGTCAAATTAGACGAGATAACCTTTTTCTTTCTTTCTCGCTCTCCACAGGGAGATTCCTCTGGAATTGAGACAGCGCTTCCGGGGTGGACAGGTAAACCTAGACATGGAGGACCATCGGGATGAAGACTTTAACAAACCCAAATCTGTTTTCAAGGCCTTTGCTGGAGAAGGACAGAAACTTGGCAGGTTAGAAAACGCTTTCTTCATTCCTCATTTTCTTTTCACTACTGAGCTAAAAGCTGCTGCATTACTTAATTAATTACACTATTTCTAATGCTAAAACATATGTCTGGCTAATGCCTTGTTGTTGGACAGGAAGACTTACTGACTGAATGAATGAACCAATCACTGACAGCCTTTTGTAAGTTAAAAGGTTAATTTGTTTTAGATTAACAGTGAGTAGACATTGTCTGTCTACACTGTCAGTAGTGTAAGTGTTCTATAGTATTTTCTTTTACATGGAACTTTATACTCCTGACAACAACAAAGACATTATTATACATAAGGACAGGAACATTGCTTATAGCAACCAATTTGATCTTTGATGCTAATTGTGACAGCTATTGTTCAATAATTATAAAAAGTCAGAAATCAGAAAGAGCTTTATTGCCAGGTATGTTTACACATATGAGGAATTTGTTTTGGTGACAGAAGCTTCCACAGCACAAACAGAATGACAGTGACAAGACACAGATAATAAAAAGAATAAAAATAGGATAAGTAAATAGGAAATAACAATATACAAAAAAAAAAGAAAAAAAATACACCATATACAAAGTGGACAATAGATGGTATTTAAAACCAAAAAAATTACTGCTAAAATATCAAACCTAAAAGGAAAATAATAAAAACAAATATTTTGTTGACTTTTATTGGTGGTTAATTAGTCAATCCTATTAACTTTTTAAGCATTGTTTTCTAGGTACAGTGTATCTATTTTGCCACAAGGGGGCGATAGTTTATTGCCTATAAGCCGCAGACCCTTTTAGTCTCCTTAGGTGTTTGGTGCTGTGTATTTGCTTTTGGGAAATTGTAGGGCTTCACGATTTGGGGAAAATTGTGTGTGTGTTGTTGTTTTGTTTTTTTAAAGCTCCATGTTTGCTGTGCTTATTTGTAGGGCTGCACAATTTGGCCCAAAATTGTGTGATTTATATATCAGTATGACTATAATAATTGTAATAATAATAACAACAATGTTATTACTTGTATATTAAAATAAAAATATTACTATTGTAGTATTTCATTGTCAAAAATATAGTATAAAAAAATATCATTTTATTTTACAGAATGACTGAAGAAATTACAATACTAATATTTATGGCTCTTAATTTTAAAATGTTAAACCATCAAGCTTTTATTTTGACCTAAAACTACAGGGTTTACAAGGGCTCCTCGTTACAAGCCTTTGTGATTTGATAGTTGTACTAATCCATATCGCGATTTTCTTTTGTTTTTAAATCATGCAGCGCCTAGTAAATAGAGAATTGTTTAGATTGATGGCTACTTTGCATTTCCAACAATTCATTGTACATTGTGATCTTCATATCGTTTCATCATAAGTTATATATTTGCTGTGGCTGAACTTTTCAAACGTAACTGTTCTTATTTCACACAAACCTCCCTCAGCGCCACGCCAGAGTTGGTGCCGCTCCAGAGAAGCCCACAGGACCAGGACGCCAGTGAAGCTGAGGCCAGTGCTTCCATCAGTGTGGACAGCTCTCAACCTGTCACTAGCATCCAGATCAGACTGGCCGACGGAGGCCGGCTGGTGCAGAAGTTCAACCACACCCATAGGTAAAAGCTTTGTGAAAATGCTTTGAATGTAACCCTATAGCATGAAAATCTTCCTCAAGACTGACCGTCTTTCTCCATCGCAGGGTGTCTGATGTGCGTCAGTTTGTGGCCAGCGCTCGCCCAGCTTTAGCTGCCACCGAGTTCATTCTCATGACGACCTTCCCTAACAAGGAGCTGACGGACGAGAGCCAGACGCTGAAGGAAGCCAACCTGCTGAACGCCGTCATTGTGCAGCGGCTAAAGTGACAGAGTCACCCAATGATCTAGCTTTATTAAAGCACTCTGGAGTTGGAGATACGGGGACTGAAAGGACTTCTAATTACTTAATTTTGTTTTCTTTAGTGATATGTTATTCCTCTGTGACAGTTTTGGGGTGGTGGGTGTTCCTGATAAAGCAAAAATGGAAATGAAAGTGAAGCAGTCACACTGTGATACAGTTAAAGGGACAGAGGGAGGAACCGAAGAGAAGAACTAACAAATTTTACGGTTTTAGAATAACTGCTGAACATATTCAGATTGAAATAAAGAGCTTTCTGAAGAGTTTTGACATCCTTTTACCTCGGTGTCTATCCTGCAGCTATACGCTGCTTTGTTTTACCTCCTCCTCAATTTTATTCCTCGTTCTGTGATTAATCTCTTACCATTTCTCCGAACTGTCATTAAAACTAAAGTAACCGTATATTCTAGCCCCATACAGTGACACTGACCAAGATCAACCTCAACTGTCAATGATCAAACCTTTTTATATATATATATATATATATATAACAATACAATCT